GAGCTTTTCAAGAGAGACAAGTCTCTCACTGTCAAGGAAGCTTCTATCTTCATCTCTGGCTTCTTTTTCAACAAGTATAGGTAAAACAAGTGGGAGCAAGAAACAACACAAGAAAGTTGTGGAGCCAAATTTGAGGATAGCACCACCCAGCGTTCCAAATCCTACCCAGAACAAGTAGGCTTGGACATTTCTTATAGAGATCTCAGCAAGGAAGGCTTTTTTGCAAATTGATCTTCTTGTCTGTTTTGTTGGCATTTTGCTTATATAGTATATACTAATTTGCCAGATTCTTAGCTCTTTTTGTTGGTTATTATTTCCTCTTGTAAGGTTTTACTGGTAATGTTGAAGGATTTAGAGACACATGAGTATGCTGGAAGTGTACATAAGAACTAGAATTTTAAAAAGTATATTCAAGGATTTTGCTTTGCAAAAGGTAGTTGTTTGATCACAGAGGCTTAGATGTCAATTATGCTGTTGACCAAGAAAATGCCTGTAGTTCAATTTTTGTGTTTTTAATGATTGATTGCTGCTTCTTCCTTCCATTAGAAAAGAGAGGCCACCAATTATGCTTTTGATTGTTTTTATTTCCTCTCGTCTCTTGAAACATAGTTATGGGCTAAGAGATCTTGCAGGCTAGCATTCACTGATTCACATGAACTATTTTTATTATTAAGAACAAGAGTTAATGCAATTCTTTGCTTGCACGCTTGGCTAGTGATGATTCACGGTACTCAATGATGGCAAGGTCTAAATGAGTCATAAGAACAGGTGGAAAAGTAAACAGTGCACGTTTGGTTGTTGGCTAGTGAGTTATTGGAACATCAAGCCATGCCATGCACCTTTTAGGTATGAAGTTGACTTTACAGCTAAAAAGATTGGAACCTCTTGGCGGTGCTATGAAAATTTGCTTGGATGGTTTTGGAAGAAAAATGCTAATTACATATATCATTTACATTACACTCAACTCTTTTACAAATGTGTAAGTGACAGAATTAGAGTGTAAATGTATAGAAAATGAAGTGGGTCCAACTTTAATCATATGGTAAAAAAACGTGAAGAAATGACGTAATCTGTATGTAGGTACGTGTAAATAACACTATTCTTTCTTGTAAATTTCCAGATATTGTATATTTTGTATACTTCCTTCTTTCTATTTCTTATTGCTTAATTTAATATAATATTATATCATCAAAAGGAGGGAGAAGGATCTTTGCTATTAAGACTATATGAATTGTCATCAGCATGCTAATGTAAATGGAATAAATACAGTATTAAGTATTAACCCTTGGCTGTACCAATTTGATGTACGTAGCAAAGAGGCCTTTTCTTGCATTTTGTTTTAAGACGGAGTTTTCAAAAAGAATAATGATGGATCAATCCTTCAAATTAGGCTTGAAAACATAGGCCTAACAGCTGTTCGTTCCGTGTTATTCAGATATTTTTGTTGTTGTTGAATATATTGAGAAATCGAACATACACCTTGTTACATAACTACTCACACTCCTCCTCACTAAGTTAACTCTAATTGCTTGTGTTATTCAGATTTCAGAGCCCATATTTCTTGCTTGCAATCTTCACTTTTGCAAATTCTCAAAGTATGAAACCAAATTTTAATACGCAAAGTATATAAGTAAATTATAACGATGTAGAATAACCTATATTGAAAATAATAAGTTATTACCACCAAATACATAGATTTAAACTGGTGTGGTTGTTTCAGCCTAAGCTATAAATACACAATTGTATAAAAAATTTGGTCAAGAAAACTTTATCATTGGTGATCATGCTTGTTTTAAATCCAGATTTATCAGTACCTTGGCGATCTGATACGAGATGATTTATAAAAAAAAAATTATATTTATATTTTTTTTATCATATGTTTTATGAACCAATGTATATGTACATATAGTTAAATAACCGTAGGCATTTATTATTTGTTTTGTCACTTTTAATATTAGGGTTTAATTTTGATTGATTATTAGCATTTTATGCTATTATGTAATTATGAATTGCACATAATTAAAAATATTTAATTATAATAACATTAATTAAATAAGAAGTTAAATTTTTTTAATGAAATGAGAATATAAATTAGATAATGTAATTTTTTTTACGTTAACACTTATTTGAAATTAAACTCTAATGTTCAAATAGCAGTATTCATTAATAGTAAAGTAAATTTAATTAAATTAAATGTTGCTGTGGGCGTAAATTTAGAAGGCGGTGAAATCAGGATACCAAAAAAAGAGAGAAGAAGGAGGTGAAATCTTGCTTTAAAAAAATACCTTTTCTAATTTGAATGTAAAATAAATGGATTTATTTTTCTCATGTTACATGAGAAAATAAATCCTTATTACACTTACCATAAAAAAGTGTGTCACTTATTTTTTTTTGTTTTTTTATTATTTTTAAATAGATAGATCTCATACTTGATGTATTTATGACATGAGATTAAAATTCTCCTAGAGAACATAAGATAAGATTTATTTTTCCCAAAATAACTTATCCAAACACTAGTACAATACACCCAGCTTAAAAGTGAAGAGCCCTCTTCCTTTTATTTTCAACTATAATTTTATCTTTTAGGCCTCATATCCACAGTGTTGACTACTAGTTGGGCTAAGAGTGGCCTTTCAAATTTGGAGTAAGGAATTGCGCGTAGATACAGATCCAACTCCACCACTTCATCCATTTGATCCTATTCTAGAGAATAAAATCCCAAGTGGTTCCACTTACTTACTTTTTATGTTAAAAAAGCAGTTTCTATCATGTAACAAGGAGACCAACGGCACCAAATTTTTTTCTATTAAAGCTTCCATATCTGTGTCTCTCTCTCTCTAATAAAGCAGCTAAAGAAGTTTAGGAATAAAGGAAAACTCAAGAAAATAAAAGGCATCAATATTGATGCCTTAGCTATCTTTTTTTTACTCTCCTAAGAACCCTGTAATTGCAAAAGGATTCTTGACTTGTCTTAATTCCTGAACTTCTAGTTGTACACTTGTACTTAATTCCTGAAATTCTTATACAAATCATAATAGGCATAACATGGCATAATTAGACAAATATTTGTATACTTGTTAGTTTAATTTCATAATTACTTATCATTTGTTTAATTATCAGTTTCTTACAGGGTCCTTCAAGATCCAACATTAATCAGACAGGAAATCCTATATATTGACCAAAGATCATCCTAGACTCCTAGTCTACTATCCTAAGATCAACTATTTATCCTTGCAATTAACTACTAGAAATTAAGTTCATCTTTCTGATTTTCAGGAACCCACTTGAGGATTAAAAATTCTTTCGCCATTTATTCTACTAGGAAAGTTTTTTTTAGCTTAATTATTGAGATACTCAAAACTTTTAAGCAATAAATAATGCAGCTGACTTTTATGTGATTAATTCATGAACAAGGTATCAAAGATATCATCTAAATAGTGCACTAATTCGCCGTTCAAAGGCAGCATATGTCACCCTTGGCTGACCTGGGAGACTAACAAAATATAATTGATATCCAAATTAGGATAAAGAAATACAATTTTGCTTTGTTTAAGTACATCAGCACATGACATCAATGACTCGTGCTCTTGTCATAGACACGTGCTCTTCATGTAACGCTATAAGATTTCCATTTTGCTTTTTTTCTTTTTCTTTTCTCTCTCTCAAGTGAGATAGAAACAATCAGTAGGATGGAAAGGAAAACCATATATATGATTTTGGTTATTACTATTGAATTAGTATTAGTTTACGTGTAAATATGATTTTGGGTTTGAAAAAAGTACTAAATGTTGGATCTATCGCTATAAATATATTGCATGTTTCAAACCTATATCTAGCTGTCCGGTACTGAGTGAGAGTGAGCACATCTTGATCCATGCACTTACCTACTAAATGGGGACCATCATTTTAATATTATTGCTCTTTGAATCGAGATCGAGTTAAGATTAAGATTCTCTGTTATGAACCCAAGAACTAGTTTTTGTTAGTGTATCTTCCGCTTAGTGTGGTTCAGAAAGCATATTCCGTACCTTTCTAATAATTTCTTCCTTTTATTTTCTACTTTTCTCACTGAAATTTTCATCAAATGTTTGCAAAATATAAACTCAGAGAGAAAATAAAAAGGAAAAAACAAAGGGGTGGGGGTGGGGGTGGGGGGAGGTGGTGGACTGGAGCAGGTGAGTTGGGTATAGACTGAGTCCATTGTATATCAAACTAGCACAGATAGAGACAAAAAAGCTTAACAAATTGAACTAAACGTGAGTTCTGCAAAAATCATGGTCTATAATTGACATGTGCTTTATAACTGAAGATATATACAATACAATCATCAAAGAGATACGGTAGAAAGCTGGAAGCTTCAAGAGGGTAAAAAATATCGTACTTCCCAAGAAATTAAACAACTGGAATATAAATACCAAACTTTCAAAGTTTAATTTAAACTTGGGGCAGGGGAAGCCTACGAAACAAATGTATTAACATAAAAATTGGAAACCTGATATCTCTTTTTCATTCTTTTTGGCAGCAACCTACACAAGGACTAGCAAACAAGCGAGTAACACCAAAAATCGTTTATCAATGGATAAGATGCTGTCCACTAATTTACCACTATACTTAGTTGTCCGGAAGACAGGGCACCGTATGAATCTTAATGGCTTTGAATGTGAAGAACTTCTTAATTATATATATATGTGGGTATAATATTTACATAAATTTATCTCCTACATACACATAAAAGTGTGTGTGGTTTATATGGGCCCATATGCATATGAGAAGTAAGAGAAAGAAAAAACATGAGTTATGTTACTTTTATGTATGTATAGAAGATAAATTTATCTTTTACAACATGAGAAACATTGATCCCTTAATTTAAAGCTGGTTTTATTTATATGTAAACAGCTGGTAAGTAGAGATCATGTGGTTTTTGTATAATGGGAATGGAGATCAAGGTGAGATCTTCTTAATTTGATATAGCAATTTTCATAAAAAAAAAAAAACCCAGCAAATTAAAAGTTAAAACCACCATGTGATTGTCAACAGAAGAATTGTACAATTTCCTAGCCCATCCCATTAAGTACAATTCTTCAAACCAGCTTTCATCTTCTGAAAAGTTGGAAAAAAAAGAAAAGAAAAAGGAAAATATGACCATAAATGAAATCCCTCAATACACCCGATGGATAAAGCTTAATTTCCCAAGTAATTAACAAACTGAATTTGAATGTTGGAAAAAGCAGAACAACAAGTGAGTGAACTTTCAAAACAAACCACCGAAGCAATTTGATCTTGTTTACATGCTTCGAGCAAGCATTTCTTGAAACCTTCTATCAGACTCTTGCTTTTCCAACTTGAACTTCTCATGGCAATTTGCAATGAACATTTCTGCTAGCATATCAATCTCATTCATTTCCTTCTCATTGTTTGCACCATTATTATCATCTTGAACCTTCTTCTCCTCAAGCCAACGTAGGTACCCTGCAAGCTGTGACTCAGGGCAATCATCACCACCTTGTTGCTCAGGTGTTGTTGAGTCGTGGCACAAATGAGTAGCAAACAACCCTTCATAAACAGGTTCTGGAACAGGCAAAACGTGAGAGGATTTGGAAGAGCACCAGTTATAGTGAAGCCTGAAGGAACCCATAATGATCTTCTTCTTCCGTGTGTTGCAATGCTTTTTCTGAGAAGGGTATGGGAAGTGAATGGTTGGGTTGTCCTTAAAAATCTCAACTATAACAGCTTTGACTTTAGAGAGTGCACGAATAATTCGGCACATGTGGGAGACTATGAGGGTGTGGATGATTCTTTTTAGCTTCATGGAGCTTAAGCTTGAAGATGGTGATGATGATTTTACTGAGAAAACTTGAAGAAGGTGCAAGGTTTTGAGATGGGATGGGCTAAACATTTTTGTGTGCCTAAGGGGTTAAGTGGATAGAAAATAGAAACACTGTGTGTGTGTGTGAGTGAATGTTCATTAGATGTAATTTATATGGGATACTAACCCTATCGGATTACCATTTTGCCCATAGTCTTTTGGTTTATTTAAAGGACTACCATACACTTTTTGTTGGAAAAAATAGTCAAAATACATAGCCATTGTTCTTTTTCTTTTGTGGATATGTTGGGGATAAGACCCGCTTCCCTGTTTTAAAAAATTTTGGTTAGGATCTGCAGCTTCTTGAACACTCAATTTTGTGGCATTATTTGATGTGATAGTTAGTATAAGCATTTCGAGAACGATGATTAAGGCTCAAGAATCGCCACAATTACGAACCCAAGGATTATAATACACAATATAAGAAGAGTTTTATAAGAGTTATGTGGTAGGAAAAATGATTGTGTAATGTTATAGAAATTCATTTTGCGTGTCATAGTTTTTTTTTTTTCTTTAAAAAGTGTGGGCTTCACAAAATGTTGTGTGTGTAGGAAAGTTTTTCAGGTCATGTTAAAGGACAAACTAAAACCCCGTATAAGAAATATTATTAAATGTATCATTAATAACTGCAGATTCCTCAACACTGCTAGTGGTTTGTTGTTTTTTATTGTTAAGAACTTTCGTCCGAATTTGCAGCCAAAGCTGTCTTTTTGTGTAAACAATTTCTTTATGCAGATCTTTATTTGCGTTATATTATTATATGGGAGAAGGGCATGTGTCATTGAATGACCTAAGAAAGTAGATCCGCAAAATAATAATACTCTTAAAAGAATATCGTAAGAAAATTCGTTAGACATGGCGTGATTAAACTGGAGCTTAATGATATATACACACAGTTTTTTTTTTTTTTTTAACAGCCAAAAAAATCCACTATGACCTCGTCTTTGCTTATCATATTTGTTTTTTAAGAAAGTGACGATGTTCAAATAATTAAATCCATTCCATAACAAAAGGAAATAAACTTTTGATTGTGTTAATTTTTTTTATCAATTTTAATTGATCAATAATCAATATAATGTACATAGAAAATATGAATTTGTAAAATTTTGCTAAATGACATTTCTAATATCTCACCAAAATTTTTATTTGTTATAATTTTTATTTTTTCGTACCTTATGCATGATACACTATTGTAAAAAATATTTAGGATTTAAAGTTCTATTATTAGTTTGTTATAAATAGTAAAAACTTAAATATTCATTAGTATCTTTTTTGTAAAAGAGTTCATATATTAATATTTTATTTTTAAATTAATTATGATAATTAATTCAAAATTTTAAACTTAATTATTATTCTTTTATATTTTTTTTAATAATTATTTGTTAAATTAATTTTTTTTATAATTCTTATTTTATAACTCCTTGTTCTGAGTTAATCTTTTATATATGATTATATAATTAAAATATTATAAAGTATACATGTTTAATTGTAATTGAAATTATTTCTAACAGATATAGACATTATCAGACTGTTTTGAAAAATGAATGTTTCATTTTTTATTTAATTATTTTAGTGTTTCTCCTAAGAGATAACTTTATCTCTAGTAACTTCAAATTATAATGACGGTTTGATAATATTTATGTAACTAAAGAGATAAAATTTTCACCTTTGTTTTTTTTCACCTAAAATTCCAAGTAATATCATTTTGAAATTGTATGAAATAATTTTATGACAAGAAAAATATTTTTTTTCATATTAAACGTAATTATATATTTCAAATAATTCCAAATAATTATTTCACCTTTGTTAATGAACTACTCTTTTTAAAGTTTAAGTTGTTAAGTAATTAAAGACTCTAATGTAATTGTAAAAACCATATTAATAATCACTGATTTAAGTGATAAGGGTTGAGGAGTTTGTTCTCCTTAATGTTTCAAATTAGAATTTTGGTAATGAAGAACAAATGGTCTTGGGAGAATTGTGGTCCAACAATGCTTGAAACTAAATAATCAGGTAATCAATGAACCAGTGGATATTTTCTTTTAAAAAAAAAGCCATCACATCATATAGTAACTAAAAATGTGTATTATTTTCAGCATTATTTTTGGTGTTTTAAAATGTTTTTCGTTTTAAGGTAATTGTATAAGCATTAAAAAATTATTAAATAGATTAAATTATATAACAATATAGTATTTGATAAATTATCATTTATTTAAATATCACATAGTATGTCATTCTATTAATATTCCCTATTATTCTATGTCATGAAAAAATATTTTTTTTTTTTACTTTTTTACTAATTTTTAAAGTAATAAATAATTTTTTTCTAAAAGGATAAATATTTTAAAACAAAAGAAATACTTTCCAACATACCAATGTATGCTAATAGAAATATTTTATGTGAGCTCTTTAGAAACACTTTAGTAGTTGGAATTGATAACAAAAAAAATCTTAAATTTATGTATATATTTTCTAAAGTAAAAAGATAACAATGTGTGCTACATTTTTTTTTTAATCACTTTACTACAATAAGATGTTGACCTTTGCCGACTCAAGATTCAGGATTATCTCAAATCTTAATATGGAGACATCTACTTCAATTTATCTTAATCTTATTTTATTTACTGAAATAGTCCAGTCTGACCTTCAATTAGTTGGATTTGAAGGAGACATGCACGAAATTACGTGCACTCAATTATTACCTTCAAAAACAAGATATGAGACTTCGTATGCCAATAATCAATCACACAACCATGTAGAATATATGGTACCCGTATATATTTACATAAACATTCATTTATATTTGTACAGTTTGATATAATTTTTATTATTTAATTACAATTACTCTTACCTAAACTTCTATAAATTTTTAATTTAAAGTTTCTATCTGACTTTTATTTGAGGTGATGGAGTCATAATCTTGCGCACCTTATATTATTCATACGATATATCCCTTAACTTTATAAATTTATCCGGGACGGCATGGTTGGTTAAGATTGGTTTACTTATATCTAATCTTATCCATATATATATAAGAGATATAGCGATCTTATATAGATGATTATGATTAGATTTAAAAAACATGTGTAATGAGGAGAATTAATGAAGGCGAGAGGGGATAATTGTGATAAAGGGAGAGAAAAAGAGGATTTTATTAACATAGATACAAAAGGATAAAAGATAAGAAATTGATTCAAGGATAAGAGAGTTGGAGAACAATTGTGAGAAAATAACTTTTACATACCTTCAAAAAAATGCAGTATGGTTCTTGTGACATTAGCCAAGTGTGGAGAGAATCCATATAACATCAACCAAGAAAATAAAATAAAATAAAAACCTTGGCCTAGCTAGACAACTTTGGCAACTTTAATTTGTACAAAAAGATACATTAAAAAGGGCGTTGAGAAACTGAATTTTTCTAAATTTTAAATTTACGGATATTATCATAAACTAAATGTAAAAATCATATTTGTGAAAATTGAGATTTCCGGCTAAAAAAAAAATTTCTCGTGTACCAAACGCCCCTGACTCCTGGGAAGATAGGAATACTTCACCTTTCCTTTAATATATTCCCCAAGCATCATCTATCACTGTCAAGGAAACTCCCATGCAACTCTGCATTTCAACTTTTGATGTTCTGAGCAAATTATGTCATTTCCCCCCTTTTGATTTAATTTCTTCCCTGTGTGTTCGTTCTACGAAGAAAACTTGCCAATGTTTTTTTGTAGCCGAGTAACTCGATTTATCGGAATCTTCAAGCAAAAGCAGGGGTAGTTGAACAAAACACATCAACGGACTAAGTGATAGAACAATATTTGAATTATAATAGTGAGCTTGTCATTACATCTTAACCAAAAATTATTCTAAGATAAAAACTTTTTGAACTATTTCACTTATATGATTGTAACTTCATCAATTTCTAATCAATGCAAGACTTCATCAGTCACACTAAAATTACAAAAAGAAGAAAATTACTCAAAATACATTAAATCAAATAGTTTATTACTCATTAAAGAAAAGAGTATATGATATCGATTATCGCCCAAATACAATGTATTTGAACAAGTCAGCTGCGAAATTTACTTGCGTAATGCTTGCCTTTATCTTTCAATTATTAAGGCTACAGATTCACATAACTTTATTTTCTTTACCAATAATGAAGTAAACGTTTTGCATTATATACATACCAAGTATATGCTATCTGTCCTGATGTCATTCACAGATATTGCTGAAGTTGGTAAAGTGTTTATAATCATTGGTAGCCTCAACGTTTTGGAGCTCAAGGACTATTTGTCCATGCTCATCTTGGAGAATAAAAACAACGGTTTAATGTCTCTCGTATTATAAGAGATAAAATTATCACTTACAAACACGTAAAAATATATGGGATCCATATAATTTTATGTGTGTGTAGAAAATAATTTTATCTACTGTAAACATCTAACCTTAAAAATAAAAACCCAACACGATGCAATTAAAAATGTCATGTCATTTTTTTTTTTTAAGATATTCTAATCGATTCATCATTTCCCTACTAGTCCGATTCAAAACGGATACCGGATTTAGAGCTTTAAACCCTTCCCAAAGACGATACTGAATCCTAAGCACATGCTCTCATTTCATCTGTTCAATTTTCTGAAACTTACTGAACTATTATCATTTGATAATATCACGCCATTTTCGATTTCTCATTTTAAACACACGAAAGCGGCACAAGAATGGTCATGCAGCGTGCATCAGCATATAATGCAATTTGTGTGTCCGCAGCAGTCGCACTCCCGCAATGTTGATTTTTTTTTTTTGAAAATAGATTGTTGAAATTATCTTGTAAAACTAAAACGGATACGTTATTGTGGCGTCCTTTTCATTATTTATGAAGTCACTGTTTCAAAACAGTAGCACAACAAATATATATAAAGAGGTAGGATTTTTGGATATCAGTGTTAAATTTAAAATTTGACACCTCGTTTAAGAGCCGTTAGATAAAAAAAGATCGATAGTGTCACATGCTTACAAATCAGAGTCGTTGATCTTTTTTGAT